ACCTTTGGGGGGTCACAGACCCTCTGGGACTGCCCCGGGCCGCTTCCAAATTGCCCACGACAGGCCACGTGGGCCGTACAGATGGTCAAGGAAACCTCAAGAGGCCCCGAAGACGGCCAAGAGCGCCCCAAGAGGGTCCGAGATGGCTTGAAGATGGCCGACGAGGGCCTCAAGAGGGCCTTCAAGAGGCAAACATCAGCCCGTTCCCTTGGTAAAACGTGAATTTTTATCATACTCGCTGGCTTCGTCTTCACAGTGCCCCAGACGCCCCCGCGGAGCCCCAACACAGCCCAAGAGAGTCCCAAGAGGGCCCCAGACGGCTCAAAAGGGTCGGCCTGTGGGGCTCACGGAACCCTCCAAGACGGCCCAAGAAGCGCCAAAGCCGGCCCAAGAGGCCCACAAGACAGCCTCAGTGAGGCCCAAGAGGGCCCGAGATGGCTTGAAGATGGCCGAAGAGGGCCCCAAGAGGGCCTTCAAGGGGCGAAAGACAGCCCGTTCCCGTAGTAAAACGTGCATTTTCAGCATACTAGCTGGCTTCGTCTTCACAGTGCCCCAGACGCCCCCGCGGAGCCCCAAGACAGCCCAATAGAGACCCAATAGGGCCCAAGACGGCCCGAAAGGGTCGTCCTGTGGGGCTCACGGAACCCCCCAAGACGGCCCAAGAGGCCCCGAAGCCGGCCCAAGAGGCCCCCAAGACGGCCTCAGTGAGGCCCAGGAGAGCCTCGTTCGACATCATGTTCCCCGAAGCCTCTCCGGGAACATGACTTCCTAGCGCCCAGGACGCCCAAGAGGCCCACAAGACAGCCTCAGCAAGGCCCCAGAGGGCCCGAGATGGCTTGAAGATGGCCGAAGAGGGCCCCAAGAGGGCCTTCAAGAGGCAAACATCGGCCCGTTCCCTTAGTAAAACGTGCATTTTCAGCATACTCGCTTGCTTCGTCTTCGCAGTGCCCCAGACGCCCCCACGGAGCCCCAAGACAGCCCAAGAGAGACCCAAGAGGGCCCAAGACTGCCCAACAAAAATCGTCCCGTGGGGCTCACGGACTCCCCCAAGACGGCCCAAGTGGCCCCGAAGCCGGCCCAGGGGGCCCTCAAGACGGCCTCAGTGAGGCCCAAGAGAGCCTCGTTCGACATCATGTTCCCCGAAGCATCTCCAGAAACATAATTTCTGGGTTCCCAGGACGCCCAAGAAGCCCCCAAGACAGCCTCAGCGAGGCCCAAGAGGGCCCGAGATGGCTTGAAGATGGCCGAAGAGGGCCCCAAGAGGGCCTGCAAGAGGCAAAAAACAGCCCGTTCCCTTAGTAAAACGTGCATTTTCAGCATGCTTCCTTGCTTCGTCTTCGCAGTGCCCCAGACGCCCCCGAGGAGCCCCAAGACAGCCCAAGAGAGACCCAAGAGGGCTCCAGACGGCTCAAAAGGGTCGGCCTGTGGGGCTCACGGAACCCTCCAAGACGGCCCAAGAAACGCCAAAGCCGGCCCAAGAGGCCCACAAAACATCCTCAGCGAGGCCCAAGAGGGCCTCATTCGAAATCATGTTCCCGGAAGTCTCTCCGGGAACATGACTTCCGGGCTCCCAGGACGCCCTAAGACAGCCCCCAGAGGCCCCGGACATGCCGAAGATGGCCTCAGGACGGCCGACGACGCCGCCAGAACGCCCCACGAGCGCCTCTGGATGAGGAGGAGGAGGCGAGCGGGGCCGATGCCGAGGTGGACGGCGAGGACGAGGGAGAGAACCGCAGTGCAGGGCAAGAGCGCCGCGGCCGCCTGCGTTGTCCGCGGCCGCCCGCGTCCGCGCCACCGTCGCACCTCCTCTCGCCGGAGGGGGGTCGGCGCGACCGCAGATCGCGGAGCCCCCGCGCGCGATTCGCAGGAGTTGTTCCGAAGGCACGCCCGCGTAACTCTCGCGAAGTACGGTCCCCAGTGCGGGCGCCGTACCGTGGGCCACGGCCCCGGTGGAACGGTTCCCGCCCATGGACGGACCAGGGCGAGTTCATCCCGCCCACTCGCGTTGGCTTTCAACTCGGTGGTTTTCGCGAGCGAGGCGACCGCGGCCGCCGTCGCGGATTGGGCCATGAAGCAAACTGCTGAGCCCACCTTCATCCTCTACGACCCCGACCTGCTCGCAGCCACGCGCGGCAGCGATGGTCGGGCCTCAAAGGCGTTGGTCCGTGCCCATCGAGGAGAGCGTCACGGAGCGCAACAGTACTGAGGAGAAGTATTGGCTCAAAGAAGACCTGGTGGCACCCCGTGACGAGAAGGTTGGGGTGGTGCTGTCGCGCTGCGGCCAGGTCAAGGATGCCGTAGTCACGGCGCAGGAAGCGTCGGGGCCGCGCATCTGGTGGACCATCCAGACCACTTTGCGCGGTTCCACAAGGAACCCAGAGGTCGCGCTGAAATTCGCTGTCTTTTCGAGGTGGCAGGCCGAACGCGAGATGCAGAAGGACCAACCGCGGCAGTGGGGCGATGCGCACTGGCAACGCCGCGCCCTGATGGCCATCCACGACAAGGGCGTCCGCTTCGTGCTCGGCCTCTTCGATCGGAGCTCCGAACACCATGCCGATAGCGGCCTCTACCATGCGGGAAAGCACTGCCCGCGAGTGGCCGAGAACCAGTTCGTGACGCACCAGAACGGGGTCGTGCCATTTGGAGAGTGCGAAGTCCGAGTGGCAACCTACCAAGAGCGCGCCGCCCCGCCTCTGTCGCGCTGGCTGACGAGGACCAATGCCTCCGCCATCGCATCGGGATGGGACACGGCCCCCAACGTGCCACAGTGGCAGCACGATGCAAACCGCAATCGCGGGATACGGCATCATTTGGGCAATATGGCGCTGCCACCGCCGCGCAAAGTCGCCCAGATGGAGATCAGCCAGGAGACCCACTCGCAGCACCACAAGGAGGGCGTCCACCAGAACTGCATCTTCATCGGCCACGGGCGCCAGGGCCAGAACGCCGCGGAAAGGCAGCGTACCATGCCCCATTGGAAGAAGGGCGACAGGAAGAAGGACGACTGGGAGAAGACGGCCGGAAGAAGGACGTCGATTTCCGCGATCTGTGAGCCTCAAGCGCAGCGGCGCAGTGAGGCTAAAGCGCAGTGGCGCAGCGAGGCAACAGCGCAGTGGCGTCAGGGCCTGCAGTCGCGGTGCGGCCGCCTGGCGTGGGGGCGCACGCAGCTCCGCCTGAGTGCACGATCTACAGCGCATGCGCTCGCAGGGGAAAAAATCGTCTTCCTGCTATTCCTTGTCCTCGTCGTCGTCGTTGTCGTCGTCGTCTCCCCCCTCCTCCTCCTGCTGCTCCTCCTCCTCCTCATCCTCGTCCAGGATCACCAGCGCCCTCGTCCTCCTGTTCCTCCCCCTCCTCCTCCTCCTCCTCCTCCTCCTGCTCCTCTTCCTGCTGCGCCCCCTCCTCGTCGTTTCCTCTTCCTTCTCTTCCTCCTCCTCCTCCTCCTCCTCCTCCTCCTCCTCCTCCTCCCCCTTCTTCATGCCGCCCTCGTCTTCGCCCTCGCCCTCCTCGCCCTCCTCGCCCTCGTGCTCCCCGTTGGCTTCGATATCGCCGCCAACGTCGACCATCGCCAGCCGCGTCAATGTCGTCATCATCACCCCCTGTCGTTCGGTCTGTAGCTGTATCTCAATCGCAGCTGCTGCTTACTTACTGTTTGCGTGGTGCGAGTTGAGCACCTCCTCGCGAAGGCAGCCCCAGCGACAGGCCGCAGTCGCGGTGCGTTCTCCGGGGGCCTGGCCCCGCAGGCCGCGGGCCCGCGCAATGGGCGCCGGCGCAGTCGCGACGGATGCGGAGGCAGCCCAACAGTTGGGGATCTCCCAGCAGGCAGCTGCGCGCAGGCAGCGGTTTCGGAAAGATGGCTGGGACAAAGTCCGCGCCCCTCTGCAGTTGCTCGCCCCGCGCCCGCTGAATCGAGGTGGTGCTTGCCCTCAGGACGAGAGGGTGCGCGAGCTTACCGTGGAGATCATCGTGGCTGGGTTCGCGCAGGCGGAAGCTGACCACGAGGGCGTGTGCATTGAAGAGTACCCAACAAAAATACTCGTGGATAAATCGAAGGAGAACGCCGAGTCCGAGACGTACACTGATTTCAACATGAAGAAAGCGAAGGGGCATCTCAAGGATTGTTTCTTGCGCAGTAGCGGAGGGGCTCTTCATCAGGTGCAGTTTGGGACGCTGTCGCACTCTCACTTGTGCCTCGTGCTGCGGGCGTCGGCGGTGGGTGCGAAGTTGTCGATCCCCGATGGCACGGAGTTCAACGAACAAGAATGGGCCAGACTGGAGAAGCTGAAGGATAAGAGCGGCTACGTCGACATGGCCGCAGATGCGGAGAACGACCCAGTCGCCAAAAAGCTCGTGGACCAGGGGATGCTCAAGGAGGTGCTTCCCTGGGAGATCATGGTGAACGAACTCCTCGGCGGATCGCTGATTAGCCAATCCTTGAACAAGGGGTCCGATTTTGCCATGCGCACAACTGAATTCACTGCGGTGCGCGTTCTGTGCGCCGCAGTGAACGCGGCCATGGGTGACGCAGTCGCGGACCATGTGGACTTTTTCAGCATGGAAAAATTGTAAGTAAACAACTCGATCGGGTCGTCCAGGATCCCGACATCGTGGAGCTCTTCGATTTCGTGGTCGGGCTCGGAAGCACCGTGGCAGCGTTCATCGGTCTCTTGCTTGAGTTTTGTCAAGCATTCGTGAACTCGAAAAGGCGAGCTCGGCGCCTCGGCGCCTTCGGGCTCGCCAACGTGTTGCCCGTCGACGCGCCGTGGGTCGAGGTGGCCGTGGTCATGCGCTGATGCAGGGGCGCGCCGCCTCGGATAAAAAAGGACAGGATAGTGCGGTGTGGCGTCCAGATCCAGAGCTTCTCTGGTCAAAACATGAGTGGGGGGACATCGTCTGCAGCGCCGACGCCGTCGTTGTGATGTATTTGCGTCGCGCGGCCGACGCAGTCAACGCCGTGGAACGCCCGCTCGCGTTCAAGTCGAATTGGCGCCTGGAGGTCGTAGGCGCACTCAGCGAATATGCCAAGCGTACCCCCAGCACCAATGTTAGTATGGTGGATGCTCGCATCGAGACTGCGCGCGCTCGCGAGAAAGTTCTGGGCGGTCTGGACAGTGGGGGTGAGCGCGGCAAGCTGGAAAGCGCAGTGGCGCGTCTGGGCGACCCTGAGAAACCGGCCTGGTTCGATTTCACGAAACTGCCTGCTTCCAAAGAGCCCGCTGTAGCAGCAGTGGCGGCGGTGCCGAAAAGCGACGCGCTGAAACCCATGGTGCTGACGTTTGACGCAGAGATGCAGCTCCCAACGACGTCCCAGATGAGCAGGGGGGCAGACGCGAAGGACAACAAGTGGACAACGCTGCCTGCGGCCGAGTGGTTTCAGTCGTCGTCGAAGGAGGAGTTGGGGATGTCGCGCGCTTTCAGCGATGCTGTGGTCGTGGCTCTGTGGGCGCGCCACTTGGCCGCAGTCGCGGTGGGGGGCGTCGACGTTCAGGTGCAGGCTTCGTCGGGCAGACGCCGCGTTGTTGCCGCCCGTAGACGCGGGGCGGAGGCCCGCGAGTTCTGGCCGTGCGCCCCGAAATCCATGAAGGTTGTCGAGAAAAGCGCGCACCTCGAGAAAGTGCACGTGAATGTGCATGTGAAGAAGCCAGACTCTTTGTCGGCGTTGGAACAACGAATTGTGCATCTCCACCCAGACGTCAAGCTGCCGACGAACACCGCGTCTGCGGACGTTGGGCCCCATTGAGCCACGCGGGAGTGGGATGCCAACGGGAGTATGCATTACTTCTGGGCAGTGACCGGGCTCGCTGAGGCGGAGCGGCAGACGCGCGCTTCGAAAGGGGGTAGCGCAGTCGCGCTGTTCAACATGGAGCTCCAAGAGAAAGAGACGGCAGTCGTAATGTCTGGTAAGGCCAATTTAGTGTTGGCCATTACAGTGCCTGTGCTGGTGAACGCGGCGCCTGTGGGGAATGGCGGGGAATTGTTGTTGGAGATTTCTGCCAAAGCGAAAATGGAAACGAAGTCAGAGGCAGGGGCGTGGCGGGTGGGCGAGGCGAGTCGGCGAATCAGTTCAAGACGGCGAGGCAGTCATTCGACAGCAAGGGGAGACTATCTATGCAATCGCACAGGAGCGGAGACTGATCGCAAGGGCACCCCCGACCCGCGCAACACCGCAACTGCGGAGTGCCGAACGTGGGGTGTTTCAGAGGTTCACTCGGTGTGTTCAAGTACTTGGTGGTCTTGGAACGTAGTGGCAGAGGCCGAGCGCGTCGCGGCGACCGCATGCATAAGCCACTGTGACGGCCGCAATAGCAGATGCGAGGCCCGCGGAAGGACACCGCTGAGCGCTGGGAAGAACATCTGTTCCTCTCGCCCCCCCCTCCCCCCTTCTCCCCCCCCCCCCCCCCCCTCCCGTCCCCCCCCCCCCTCGCCCCTTCGCCCTCGCCCTCGCCCTCCCTCTCCTCCCCCTCCTCGCCCTCGCCCGCGCCCTCGCCCTCGCCCTCGCCCCCCCCCCCCCCCCCCCCCCCCATCCGCGCATCGCCCCCTCCCACTGGGCCCCGCCCTCGCCCTCGCCCTCCTCCTGCGTTCAAAGGGGGGTCGCAATCCCCGTTTGAACGCGCGCGTGCGTTCAAAAGGCCCCCCCCTTCCCCCCCCTCCCCTTTGGGCGCAGAGTTGGCGTTTCAAGGGGGGTTTGTGGTTTCGACGGGGTGGAACCCTTTCTTGAACGCAAATGTGAGTTCAAAAGAGGGTAGCGTTCCTTTTTGAACGCGCGGGGAATTTCAGCTCAGATCACTCCCTGGGGCCTCGTCGGCCGCCCTGTCGCCGTTTTGCCCCCCGGGCGGCTTGCCCCCCCCCCAGCGCGCGCGGCCTTCCTCTCTCTGCTGGCGGAACCGCAGTGGCGGCCGCGACCCCCGCGGCAGCGGCTGCGCGGCGCTGCGGCGGGGGCGCCTGGCCGCGGCGGCGGAATGCCTTCGGGCGAGGCGCCCGCTGTAGAGACGAGGCTGTGCGTCAGCGGCGGCCATTGCAAGATGCCGATTGCCGTCTCAAAGAAGGACTTGCGGACAATCCAGGTGGGGAGTCCCGGCGTTCCAGGGCAGACTGAGACAGTGGCGTTTGCGCGCGGGACCTCGGTGAAGGACTGGATTCGGAGGACGTGCTCTCCGCGCCAGGTTGTCAAGCAGGGTCAGTTGAAGGGGCGCCGCGCATGCGAGCTCCTGGTAGCGGCGTGGAGAGCTGCAGGTGGTGGCGCAATCACCTTGGAGGAAGAGGGGGATGACGACCCCATGGTGAGTCTGGGCGGCAGCGCGGAACCCCCCTCCCCCCCGATGCCCACCGCAAGAGGCAACGCACTACGGCGGTCGGGCGGGGGGGGGGGGGGGAAGATGTGGGGTGACATGGGCGTCGGCGGCGTTCCGCGCCTCGCCGACGCTGACCGTGGCGACAGCGCAGTCGCGCCGTCACCACATTGACCTGGCGGACAGTCCGCCCGGGGAGCATGCGGCCCAGGGGAGCGGCGTTGGCTTCGCGATTGCTTGGGATTTCAAGGGCGCGTGGGTCGCAGAGGTCACGCGTGAGGGCGAGCACAAAGGGAAGACCATCGAAATGAAAGTTAAAGGTTGGCGAAGACGAAGTGGAAGGACATCGCCGAGGCGAAGGCGTACGAGTACAACTGCGAGAACATCGCGACCACCCAGCAGAAGCAGGCGGCGCTGGAGCACCTGGAAATGAAGGTACCGCAGATCATCGGCTGAGCCGCGGGGGAACCGCAGCGGCGGGCCCGTGGCAGATCGCCGCAGTGGCGGACCGCAGGCTGCAATGGCGGACCGCAGGTTGCAGATGGCGGGCCGCGGACCGCAGACCGCAAGGTCGCAGCGTGAGCGTGCGCGTCGGGGCACGCCGCGGGGAACCACCACTCGTCGAGGAGTTGAGCGTTTGTCAAAAAGAAGTTACTTTCCTTGCGACCGTGTGCTCCCCGCGCCCCTCCACTTTTTTTTGCGTTACTTATCGTTGCGCGTCGTCATGCGTCCGGCATGTTCAGCGTCCCTTCTCCGTAATTAACCTCCTTTCCCGCGGCCGCTTTCGAGGCTCAAGCGCCCGTGCGCGGCGATCGGGTTTCCCATGGGCGTGCCGGTCGGCGCGCGATGGTACGGCAAATGCAGGGGTGGCATCCACTGCGAAGAGGAATGGCTGAAGTATGTATCCTAGCGGTGGAAAGCCGAGAGAGACCCGCTGCGGCGCCCCGGGTTTGCAAACATCTGGAACCGCAGTAGCGGAGATATGCGCCCTCAGAAAATCAAGGTGCATGCGTGTGCGCAAGACGACTGCGTTGCACAGTTTGACGGAGGGAAGTATGGGGCGTCGGAGGTACCTGGGCACCACTTGCGCCCGTCCGACTGGCGCCTGCCAGCGGCGCCGTCGGATCCAGAGGCAGGAGAGGGAGTGGCGGCCCCAGCCGCCGACGGTCCTCATTAGGACTTCGTCGTCGTCCTCCTCCTCCATCTCCTCCATCTCCCGCTCGGAGGTCCTCGTCCTCTTCGTCCTCCTCGTCCTCCCCGTCCTCCTCGTCCTCCTCCTCCTCCTCCTCCTCCTCCTCCTTCTCCTCCTCCTCCTCATCCCCCCCCTTCTCCTCCCCTTCCAAAGCCGAAGTCCCAGTGGCCGCGGCGGCGGGGGATGGCGCCGCAGAAGCGGTTGCAGTGCCAGAGAGCGCAGTCGCGTCAGGGAGCGCAGAAGGGGCTGCGGCATAAGGAACTCCACCGCCTGGAGATAATGCCGCAGGTGCGGTTGCGGTCGCCGCAGAAGTAGAAGCGAGCTGGGTTGCAGCATCTGTAGGGCGCTTGCTGCCGGCGCTCCCGTTGCCAGCGACGTGGTCCGAGAGTGCCGCGCAGTTCTTTCCTTGCCCCGGCCCAGATGCAGCGGCCACAGTAGCTGCGCCTGCCGCGGCGCCAATGCGAATGCGAGTCCCTGCGCCTCCAGCGCCGCCGCAGAAGAGTTTACCTGCGGCGACGGCTCCGCGGATGGATGCCGCAGTGGCGGCGAGGACCTCTGACGCGGCGTTGGCGCTGCTGCGGGACATGCTGACGCCTGGCTCCTGCGTTGGCCACTCGGCGTTCTGCTTGTTTGCGTTGCGTTACAAGCGTCGTCCGTATATTGGGGGGGGGAACCGCGAGGGCCTGCTCGAGTTCTACAGGCCGTGGGCACTGGGCCAAGCGCTGGAGCCGCGTGATGACGACGGCGCGGCGTGCTCTGAGAAGATGCTGGTTTGTTCGGCGAGTACACCTCTTGCCAGTCTCCGAGGGGGACCTTCTGCGTGAGGTCCGCCACTGGGTGGCCGCAGTCGCGGCGGGGGCCGCGGTCGTCGGCGGCGCGGACCCCTTGAATGTTTTCTATGGGCCTCGGGGCAAGTATATCCTGGGGGCCGTCTGCGACTGGGGCTGCGGCGTCGACCTGGCGGCGATGCAGCTCGAGAGACCGAATGATGCGCAGGGGCGCGCCGCCGTCAGGCAGGAACTCTTCGACTGCGGAATGGAGCGATGGCAGGGGCCGTGGCTGCACGACGTGCTCGTGCCCGCGCATGAGTTGGAATTGAAGGACGTGTGGGCGCGCCGCGGTAGCAAGCCGATGGCCCTCGTGGACGTGCGTTCCGACGACGACGGCGACGACGACGAGGGCGGGGCGGGGGCGCATGTTGTGGACCAGCAGGTGGTCGCGCAGCCTCCGCTTTCGGCCGGGCCCGGGCATCTGCAGGCCTTGCGGTGGCAGACGGGGTTGCGCGATGGACGGTGCTCTGCTGGCAATCGCAGATGGCACGTCCGAGCCGTTGCGGGAGAAGCAATTCAGGCTGCGCGAGGCCTTCAAGCAGCAACCCGTCGTCGCAGTCGCGAAAGTAAAGAAGCCAGTTCGCCCCTGGCTGCTCGCAGACCGCAGCGCGGTGTGCAGAGAGCTCCAGGAGTACGCCCGCAGTCGCAGTTGGGTTTGCGGGCGGCTGACGAGGGGCACGTTGGTCGGCTTTTGTCAGCAGTGCAAGTTGCCGACAGGCATGAACGAGAGAACGCAGGTATTTGCCGTGACAAAGTGGTGGTGGTGCTGGAAGAAAACAGGGGGTGGTGCCGCGCCCTTGGATAACGGGTACTCGCGTGGCAGACGTCGCGCAGATGGCGCTGGTCGTCATGCGAAGTGCTCGCGGTTGGAAGTTTCTCTGTGCGAATGGTGGTCGCACATGAGGTATTCTGTGGACTGGGAAGCCGTCGCGAAGGGGGGCGCAGTCGCGCCGGGGCGTCCGAAGATCATGGCGAGATTCACCCAAGCCTTGCTGGTCGCGACAGCGCTGCAACTCACAGCGCAGTATGCGTGGAAGCATTGGAGCAGGGGCTCAGACCTTCGGTGCCGCAGTTGCGGCCAAAGTGGCAGGTGAAGTGGCGGCGTGCGTCCGGTCTGATCATGCGAAAGCCGAGCCGCAAGTGCAAGATGCCGAAGTGGCTTCTGCGGTCCGTTTCGAAACGATGATTTTGAGTGTGGCCAGGGTTCGCGCCGCCGCAGACGCCCTTTTTGGGTGCGACCCGCGCGTCTTCAACTGGGGCCAGTCCCCTTTCCACCGCAACGAGGCGGGCTCTGTTGAGCAGCAGCGCCTCCCCGTGAAGGGGGGCGTCGTCCCGCTGGTCGGGGCGCGCGACGACAGCGATGCCAGGTGGGCGGCGAACCTCACGGTGTCCAGCGACAAAGAGGATATCCGTAGTGGCGGGCCGCCGCCGGCGGAGCTGATGTTCAGGGGGGGGCCCGAGGTTGCGGAGAATCTCGCAGCGCGCGCTCGCAGAAACGAGCGCCCTTCCCGAGTGTCTATGACGACTTGCGAGAAGGGGAGCTATCGCCACGAGCGCGTCGTCGCGTTCCTGAAGCGGCACTTGCGTGAGTGGCCGGACGACGTGAAGGCGCGGGGGCCGTGTCGAATCCTCATGGCCGACGCGCGCGGCCCCCGCGACTCGGATGCGGTCGCGAGGCTCGCGTGGCAGCGCGGCTGCGTCCTCGTCGTTCATGGTGGCGGGGCAACCGCAGTAGCGCAGCCCGTGGGCATGGGCCCCAACCAACACGTCAAGCGCGAGTGCATCGCCCGCGAATTCGCCAGGATGATCCAGCAAATGACGGAGGACAACGGAACAGTTTCCGCGCTTGAAGCGGGGGGGCTGCGTGGACTTGATGGTCGAGGTGCTGAGTAACTTGCAGCTCCACTTGGGCGCCGCAGACGGCTTCCTGGCGACGGGCGCCAGGGCGCCAGTCGACGAGTCGGGCGACCTGGAGATCTGCAGGGGGGCGGCGGCGTTGTGGAAGGAGGCGGGTTTGCGGGGGAAAGTTGATGCCGCCGTCGCGGAGGTCAGAACATAATGCCGAGCGGGAAGGCTCAAGTGGTCGTGCGACGACGTGCAACGCCTGATGCTTCCCTGCGCAACGCGCAGCGAGTCAGTCAGAGTCCTCGCCAATCTGGGCGAGGAAGAAGGAACGACGACGAAAGGGCATGAAGGCGAGGGGGGGGGGGCGCGGGGGGGGGCGGGGTGGGGGGGGCGGGCGAAGGCGATGGCGAGGGGAACGGCGCCGACGACGCGGGCGAGGGGCAGGAGTGGGAGGAGGTCGTTGTGACAGACGCTGAAACCGAAGCAGCGGATGCGAACTTTGCAAGAAACGCTCCAAGATACAGAAACAATGTTACGGGAAGTGGGCATGCAGAGTCTTGCAATGCATTGTAGAAACGAGGCGCGCAAGATGAACGAACGCCAGCGGGAGTTCGCTCGCGACGACGACAATCTCTTGCGAGCCTTGGCTGCGCAGCGAGATCACGAAGCTGCAGTGGCGACGAAGACGCGGCGATTGACGAAGGAAGCCAACGGCGGCGCCTCTGCGCTGCGCGACCTGAAGAAGCAGATCCGTGAATCCAAGGGGGCCTTGGAGGCGAATGCTGCGGCCGCAATCGCGGCGGAAGATGTGCTGGCGAGCAAGTTCGCCGTGGCTCAGTGGAAGCCAGAGGAGTTGAACATCAGGAAACACAGGATGGCGGCTGTGGATCGCCTGGCTCGCGGCAGGGGCGACCTTTCGCCGGCGCAGAGGTCGGGGCGGCAGTGGTTCAAAACGAACTGGGACGACGCGATGAGCAAGGCACACAAGGAGGATTGGCATATTATTTTTGCCGGGTGGGTGCAACAGGTCGCCAGCGAGGCCGCAGCTGGGAATCGCGCGGCACTGTCGCAGTTTATTTGCAACGAGACGGTGAGAACGTTCGGGGGGGGCAGGTGGCGCTGGTGGCCCCTGCCAGCGCCGTTCCAGACCGCAGTGGCGGTGGAAGCGGGGCCGCGGCGTAATTGATGGCGCCGCGACGCAGGAGACCGCGGCGTCGGGATGGCGGCGAGTTGGCGCGTGAGGGTCGCAGCCAGGTGGGCAAAATAACGCATCATCATCATCGCCATCATCATCAGCATCATCATCATCATCCACATCAACGTCATCATCATCACCATCATCATTCTGATCCTCCTCCATCCTCCGCGCTCCGCGCTATCTTCCTCCCGCGACGCCCTGCTCCTCGACCTCGTGCTCCTTTCCGATCTCTGTCTCCTCATCCCCTCCCCGCGCGATGGTTGTTTGCGGCTCGAGGTGGTGGGCCCGCCGTGATGTGGGGGGCGGTGGTTGCGGCCATGTGGCCGCCCTCCCGCCCGGCTGCGGCCGGGGCAACTGCGGGCGGCGAGGCGAACCTCGTGGACGTGATGTTACAGAGCGAGCGCGACGCCGCGGTCACGGCAAACGCTCGGGGGAACGCGGAAGTGGCCGCGCACTCGGATGACGGCGACAGCGACGGAGGTGCCGCGCAAGACGGTGGCGCCTTGGCTGGTTCTTCGGCGGCGGCCTCCTCGCGTGGAGGCGACGAGGCCGAAGGAAAAGAGCGCGGGGAGCCAAAGGGGCGGGCGTGGAAAACGCAGTGGCGGACGCGAAGAAGAAAACACGTTCGTAGTTGAAACCGACGCTGGCGGAGAACGCGGCGCGGTTGAGCATTGCCAACCAGCAGAGAGTCACAGATCAGGAGAAGGCAATTGGAGGGGACATGGGCCGATGCGCGCTCAACGTGGGCAACTTCGGGGGAGCGGCCGAGGGCAGGGGGGTTCGCTGGAACGAGTGCGACCAAATGCACGAGAACCCTGCGAACATCTTGGCCCTCTGCGAGTGCGACGATGAGCTGTTCCACCTGCTGTCTGGGGCCGCCGAAGAAGGCGACGACGAGGGGGGGGGTATGCGCAAGACCGCAGCAGCGGGCGACGCCGAGGCGGAGGTGGGGGCGCTCCAGTCCCGCCCCCGGTGCAAGTACTTGTGCGCCAAAGGCGATGAACTGACTGGCACTCTTCTCCTTGGCGTGCGAGATCGCAGTGGCGGAAGCGCAGAGAGCCTCGGGTTCACGCGGCTCAAACACAAGGACGAGACAAGCAAAACAACAGGGAACAAACTCAACGGGTCTTCCAGGGCCCTGGTCGCTGCGGTTACCCTGGGCGACCCAGTGCCGCCCCCGGGCAACGAGTTCAACGTCGTGGTGTTGCACGTGCACAACAAATGGCCAACAATGACTTTGGGGCACAGAGGCTGGAACAGTTCTGCACTTGGTTCCTCCAGGAGGTCCAACGCAGTCGCGTGCAAATTGTCATGGGAGACTTTGACATGTGCATGTTCGGCATTGTCCGCAGGGCCCGCGTGGCTCGCCTGGTGTTCCACGTGGCCGCGTGGCCCCCCCCTGGGAGACCGACCGAGGCCGACCCAGGGCGGACAGCGTGGCGATTATGTTCTTCGATTGCCCTGGGAAGTACACGCGCTGCAAAGGTTTGGAATTCTTACATGACCGCAGTGGCGGGCTCTTGAATGATGAAGAGCCGGGCGAGGATTTCCTCGCGTTCGACTTCGCGAGCGCTCCTGGAAAAATGCTGGAGACGTGCCTCCCCAAGAAGATGGCCCTGCAAGAGAAGATGGAAGCATTCCTGGCGCCGCCCTCTGCGTCGTCGATCGCAGCCCGCGCCATCGAGGCGCAGGTGGGGAAATGTAAGGGAACGGGAAACTGGGGGAATGGATTCCGCACCCCTTCAAAGCAAGACGCAAGCACGTGGACCCAACAATCTGGCGGGGTGGCCCAAGAGGAAAACCGAGAGGAGGGGCGCACTTTCTCCTTGTGGTGTTCACGCAGAACGCGCCGCGCAGGTCGCCAGAGGCGGCGGCGAGGAGGCTTCAGAGAAAGGAGGGCTACCCCAAGGGCGCCTGGAAGGGCAAGTGGGGCGACCAGCAGGGCCGCCGCGCGGGGCGCGATGGACAGGAAGACGCAGTGGCGGCAAACTCGGGCGTGGGCTGGGGAAACCGAAGCGGCGGCCGCCAGGTGGGCCGCGAGGGCTGGGGACTCGGCGAGGGGTGGCGCCAGAAGGGCTTCGGCAATCGGCGGCAGGGGGACTGCCAGAAGAACTGCCCCCCCGCTGACAAACCCCCAGAAGGGGGGGCCGACGGGGGCGGAGGGTGGCCCCTGCAGGGCAGCGACAAGGAAACGGCAGTCGCGAACCAAAGATTCGCAGTTGCGGCCAGGGCCGCGCTTCCGCTGACGGATTTCGCGGACCCACCCCTTCCCTCGAAGGGGCGGGGCCGCGACGTTGACGCGGGGCGCGACTGCGCGACGGGCAAGGGGGGGGGGGGCGCAACCGCAGCAGCGGGCGCGGCGAGCTCCTGGCAAGCGGCCGCGGCGAGCTCCTGGAAGGACCGGGCTCCTAGCAGCACTGGGGGCGACGCTAGCAGTCCCAATCCCTGGGCGACTTCGCCCTATGAGCTGTGGGCGCCCTGGCCACCCTCGAGTTCGGGATGGGGAGGGCCTTCGCCTGCGTTGGGTGCCGCGAGCGCGGCGGCAGAGGCGACGCCGCAATCGCCTCCGCCGAACCCCCAGCAGGCCGCCCCATGCATCTGGGCGGGGACGTGGACTCGCACGCACGTGGAGTACTGGCCGAGCTGAGGGCCTGTGAAACCGCAGTGGCGGGTGCGCTGCACTGTTCGAGCGGACGGACAAATCGTCATCTTCTCCTCATCTGAATCTTTCAACGGAGCGTCCAATCATCATCTTCGCCCCCTATGTGCGTTTAAAATGGGTTATTTTCCTCCTTTTCGGTACATCCTAAATTCCTTTGTTTGGGCTTTTGGATTATGGAACTATGGGGCTATGGGGCTATAGGGTTATAGGGCTATAGGGCTATAAGTCTATAGGGCTATAGGGTTATAGGGCCATAGGGTTGCAAGGCTATAGGACTATATGGCTATAGGGTTATAAGGGGCTATAGGGCTACAGGGCAATAGGGCTATAGGGCTGTAGGGCTATAGGGCTATACGGCACCTGGGCACCCGGGTACCCGGGCACCTGGGCGGGCCGCGGAAATCGATGACGCACCTCACCTAACTGTATGAATCCTCTAGGACCCCGACAGAGGCAAAGTTTGATTTGGGAATATATGTATATATTAGTGTTTGCCTGATTTTTGTCCTCTACGACGCAAACCAGGTCGCGAGCTGAACGGTGTTCTGGCGACTTCGTGGGCCGTTTTCGTTCTGACTTCGCTGTCCAGCGATGGCGGGACGAAGACACAGCGAGGGGAAACGAGAGAGAAACACGAAAACATGAAGTACTGTTTAGCTCGAGCCCTGGCGCCAGCATGTTTGCGGACTTCTGACGTAGGGCCGAGGGTCAGAGAGCGCCTTCCTTTGTATGGCCACAAAAACAGGGACGTCAAGGAGGTCCACCGCATCGCCGGTTAATCCGACGACGATGTGCAACATCTAACCGGTCGTTCATGTCCAAAATTTTGGCTTGCCCCCTCTCCACGGCCGCCCTGTGCGTCTTGCTCTCTCCACTTGCATGCTGGCCGATTCGCCTTTCCGGTTGCCCCGAAAGGCTTCTCGCTGGTGCAGTATGCCTTTGACTCGCCGCCATCTTACAAGTATTCAAGTGACTTTCGGATACAACTCGTGGGAGGTTAGATTCTGATTCTGCCCTGGTCCGAAATCCGGCCTAATCCGGCTTCATCCCGTTTAATCTGGCTCAATCCAGCCTAGCCCCGCTCAGTCCCGCTGAATCCGCGGCCGAATCCGGCGTAGTAGCCCCCTGATGGGGCTTAATTCTCCCTAATCCTTCCGACGAAGACCTCCCAGTAGTTGCCTCCTAAGGGGCTCCTCTCGTCCGACGTCTCGCCGCGAAGGTCGCCAGCATGGGTTGCCTCGGCCCCGCGGGGGCCCCGCCCGAGCGCGCGCGCGCGCGGAGCCCGCGCGCAGAGCTCGAGAGGGCGGTTCGGGTGCCGTGCTGAGCGCCCGCCTCTCGGAGCGCGCTGCCGCACAATGAAGGCGGTCCGCCTCCCCTGGGGCGGGGCGAGTGTGACGAGTACGACGAAGACGATGCTGGTGATGGTGATGGTGATGATGATGATGATGATGATGATGATGATGATGATGATGATGATGATGATGATGATGATGATGATGATGATGATGCTGATGATGCTGATGATGCTGATGCTGATGATGCTGATGATGCTGATGATGATGATGATGATGATGATGATGATGGTGGTGGTGGTGGTGGTGGTGGTGGTGGAGGTGGGTGGTGGTGGTGGTGATGATGATGATGGTGATGATGATGATGGTGGGTGGTGATGGTGGTGCAGGTGGTGGTTGTGGTGATGATGATCTTGATGAGGATGATTGGGGAGAGAGGGGAAGGACAATGAGGATGAGGGTGATGAAGAAGATGATGAAGAATCTGATGATGATGATGATGATGATGATGATGATGATGATGCTGATGATGCTGCTGATGATGCTGATGATGCTGATGATGCTGATGATGCTGATGCTGATGATGATGATGATGATGATGATGATGATGATGATGGTGGTGGTGGTGGTGGTGGTGGTGGAGGTGGTGGTGGTGGTGGTGGTGATGATGATGATGATGATGATGATGGTGGGTGGTGATGGTGGTGCAGGTGGTGGTTGTGGCGATGATGATCTTGATGAGGATGATTGGGGAGAGAGGGGAAGGACAATGAGGATGAGGGTGATGAAGAAGATGATGAAGAATGATGATGATGATGATGATGATGATGATGATGATGATGATGATGATGATGATGCTGATGCTGATGCTGATGATGCTGATGCTGATGATGATGATGATGATGATGATGATGATGATGATGATGATGATGAGGAGGAGGAGGAGGAGGAGGAGGAGGAGGAGGATGAGGATGAGGATGAGGATGAGGATGATGAGGAGGAGGAGGAGGAGGAGGAGGAGGATCATGTGCCAGTGTGAACCCAATATTCACCAACGATGTTGCAATAAACCCTTCCTCGCGGAGGCGAAGGCGGAGGCGGAGGAGGAGGAGGAGGAGGAGGAGGAGGAGGAGGAGGAGGAGGAGGAGGATCATGTGCCAGTGTGAACCCAATATTCACCAACGATGTTGCAATAAACCCTTCCTCGCGGAGGCGAAGGCGGAGGCGGAGGAGGAGGAGGAGGATAAGGAGGAGGAGGAGGAGGAGGAGGAGGAGGAGGAGGTGCAGGAGGAGGAGGGAAGCGGCAGAATCCGTGTGAAAATAAAATGCTTAACTCTGGAGTTAATCCGCGGGAAAGCTGGCACGGCGATCCACCTTGGGAAGAATTAGCTCCGAAGTTAATCCACGGGAAAGCCAGCAGCAGGATCCACTCTGGAAAAAAGATTAACTCCAGAGTTAATCGACGGGGGAGGGGTGGATCAGGGCGCCGCCCTGGGCCCCGTGAATCAACTCCGGAGTTAAAATCCACGGGGGAGGGGTGGATCAGGGCGTCGCCCTGTGCCCCGTGAATTAACTCCGGAGTTAATCCATGGGGGAGGGGTTGATCAGGGCGCCGCCCTGGTCCCCGTGAGTTAACTCTGGAGTCAATCCACGGGGAAGGGGTGGATCAGGGCGTCACCCTGTGCCCCGTGAATTCTAGACGCTTTGCGTAACCCCACCAGTTTGTTCGTCGGCCCGGACACCCTGCTCGCCGCCTGCGCTCTTCGCTCGCGGCCGCGACCAAAAAAAAGTAACCCCACCAGCCCTCCCGCATCTGTGCGTTGCTGCCTCGGGGCTCCTCACAGCCACCCTGGGAGTTGCAGCCTGCCAACGCGCTCGCCTTCTGGTGTCAATTCTTTGGCCAACGGTCCTTCGGACCACTCTGGTGTTCGCGCTGACGCCGACGTCCGGGGCTTCGCCATTGCATTTCTCATTTCCACCTCGACCGGCGGTTCGTTGGCCGCGGCCACCCTGGTGCCCACGCAGCTGCTTGAGGTTCTGTCTCCTGCCTTAATTCTCGGTGTTGTCCCTGGTTGTCGTTTATCCCGACTTCCTGGTGCCTTCGACGCCCTGCACACTTTCACGCTGGCAGTTCGGTGCAGTTTCAGTCTCTCCTGCCACCCGCCCGCCGCTGGGCCGCCGCGTGAGGCCTCGGCTTGCCGCGTTAGTTGTAGCCCTTTCGCGCCGCCTCTGCCTAATTAGTCTCTGCGTAGCCCTCTTTGACCTGACTCGCCGCCGGCGCGCTCGCCCGCGGCCGCTGACAACAAAGTAGCCCCACCAGCCCATCCAGAAACGATGCCCAGAAGAAGTGCCTCGATCAGGGAAGTGGGCAGCACGCAGAGGAAGGGTCCCCCAGTGGAGGCCTCTTGGAGCGTCTTGGGGGCCTCTTGGCGGTCCCGGACGCCTCTTGGAGCGTCTTGGTTGCCTCGGAGAGCTTCTCGGGGCCTCTTGGGGGTCTCTTGGGGGCCTTGTGGTGGCCTCTGGGGCGCCTGTTGGGGCCTCCTGGGGCCTCCTGGGCGCTTCTTGGGGCCCTCTTGAAGCGCTCTTGGGAGCCTTGGGCCATCTTGGAGTCATCTTGAAGCCTCGGATGGCCATCGGAAGCGAAAAGGCGAGAGCGCCCAAAACATTGTTTTTCCAACGTTTTTTTTTTTTTTGTTTCCGGGGCCTCCTGAGGGAGCTCTTTGGCTACTTGGAGCCGTCTTGAAGCGGTTTTGGGGCCTCTTGGAGCATCGTGGGAGCCATCTTGAGGCATCTTTGGATATCTTGAGCCATCTTGGAGGTCATTTTGTTACCTAACAGCTCTTGCTGATAGGTTTCTAGTGGTCTCAAAAGAGAGCATCATGACTCCTCAGGGGGGTCTGGGCGGGACCCAGAGAGGCTGCCGCCGAAGCCGAAATCGCTTGGGACATCCCAGCAAAATCGCTCTTGGTGCTCCCAGAACTCCATTCCCGGGCCACATTTTGGATGCCCGGAGCCAACTGTAGGCCACTTCGTGCTCTTCGACTTCCCAGAACTCCATTCCCGGGCCACATTTTGGATGCCCGGAGCCAACTGTAGGCCACTTCGTGCTCTTCGATTTCCCAGAACTCCATTCCCGGGCCACATTTTGGATGCCCGGAGCCAACTGTAGGCCACTTCGTGCTCTTCAAGTTCCCAGAACTCCATTCCTGGGCATGATTTTGAATGCCCGGAGCCAACTGTAGGCCACTTCGTGTTCTTCTAGTTCCCAAAACTACATTCCTGGGCCACATTTTGAATGCTGAGGCAGGCTGAGGCTGAGGCAGGCTGAGGCTGAGGCTGGCAGGCTGAGGCTGAGGCCGAGGCTGAAGGCAGACTGAGGCTGAGGCTGAAGCAGACTGAGGCTGAGGCTGAGGCAGGCTGAGGCTGAGGCTGAAGCAGGCTGATGCTGAGGCAGGCTGAGGCTGAGGCTGAGGCTGATGCAGGCTGAGGCTGAGGCAGGCTGAGGCTGAGGCCGAGGCTGAAGGCAGACTGAGGCTGAGGCTGAAGCAGGCTGAGGCTGAGGCTGAGGCAGGCTGAGGCTGAGGCAGGCTGAGGCTGAGGCTGAGGCTGAGGCTGAGGCTGAGGCTGAGGCAGGCTGAGGCTGAGGCTGTGACTGCGACTGCCGTTGCCGCGGCGACTGTCATCGCGAATGCGAC